ATGTTTGGGCCAGGAAGTAAGAAAGAAAGGAGGTAAGTGGTAGTTGTAGAAGTGACTGTTGGCCAATTTTTCTAAACGAGACAAGCCGCTTTATGTGGGTGAGTGTACGAGAAGGTGGTGGATTGCATCCCTCTAGTCAGTGGACACAGGCACTTCCATTGGCGTCTGCTACGTCAAAATGCCCACCTCCTCAGTTACAAATGCGTCTATCAAACATCAAGAAGTGAATAAGGAGAAACTTAAGCACTTGAAATGCCATTGATAGATTCAGTCAGAAAACCACATATGACAACAAGTAGTTGTGCGAGAACAAGTTTCATGGATCCATTCTCCTTCAATGGATATGAAATAGGAAGGATGCAAAAATCCAACTGACTGATTTATGGGACGGGAATGCTAACTACTCTCCGACGAAAAGAACACAGCAAAAATGCTGGGGAAGTGTGAAGCGATTGTCATGTGAATAAGCATGTTTGGATGTATTGTGTGGATTAATAACCTGAGGAAATATTAAGGCCTGAAGAAGCACATTACCTTTGTGAGCAAGGATGAACAAATTTTGGAGTTTGTTCACAGACGATATTTTTTAAAAGCACACAATGCACCTCCATAAACGCAAACATCACCTTTTTAATGGATCACTTTCGAGTTCAGAGAGCATGAAATTTACCTCTCAGACAAAAAAGACACTTCTAGAAGCGAATAAGGAAGAATTATTCTCAATACACTAAGTACGCAATTATATCGTCATTTGCTTGAATTGAAACATCAGTAGTCTCATGCCTGATGCAACTACACAGCGGTCTGCATTACACGAACAGCCTGGTGTCGCAAATCACAGTAACTATAATTTGCCAGGTCGCATTCGAACAAACAGTAGACGATTGTGAATCGGGAGGGCAAGAGGGCAAGGGGACACCACGAACATTATGTGGAATTTCAATCACTTAAGTAGAACATCAAACGGATTCAAATAACTCACTGATTTGGAAGGAGGAACGATGGTAGTGGGATTGGGAGCGATATCTTTACCATCACCACCCTTGGAGGAATCACTTATCGGATTGCGAGGCAGCAGTGTCGGTGATGTTGAAGGTTGGACAATATCACCTCCAACACCACCTCCACGTCCATTGCTCCGTGGTGGCGATGATGGAGGAGGAGCCTTGGGATGTGAAGGAATGAATACTTGAGGAGGTGAAGTGTTTTGGTTGTTAGTTTGGTCAAAATCCGTTTCGGGTGATGTTAGGGAACGTTGTTGCATAGGCGAATTCATAGGCATTGTGAGCTGCAGCAAAGGATAGAATTTGCGTTATGTTAAGCAAATATAATTTGGTTTGACTTAAGCAATTTCGCCATGGAGACAGGATTGGATCACGCATGACATTTTCATTGATTTAGGTTTTGCTTCCATACCCTGGCCTCGTCTGATTCTTTTATGAAGTGAAAAAGAATGGGTTAGCAGTAGATGTAGAACTGACCTTCGGAATACCTAATTTCTATGTGGTGTAGCGGCACATCTAGTAAGTGAGAAAAAGGCGGCAAATGATACGTCTTCATTCAGCGGAAACAGACGCTTTGATTGGCTCTGAATCCTGCACACACACACGCACACGTCTGCTACGCCAAACTCAAGTCTCTCTGTAGCCACACACAAGTGCATTTAAAAGCAATAAATATTTTGTAGACTCCACGAGAAACAATCCACCCAAGAGCTCCAACAATGCAAGCTTCAAGCAGTCGTGATGCTATTAAAAGGTTCAATTTGATAATCACATTCAATAATAAATAGGTGTGTGTTGACGAGAGCTGTGCCATATCAGTGGAATGAAGAACTGTATGATTACCATTGCATCGAATTTCAATGGAGAAGAAGAAAGGCAGAAACCTAGTTGGATAGTGAAAAGTTGTTAAACGAAAGTCGAGCAACTTAATGTGATGCGATGCATTGTATGTGTCAATGGGTAATTTGGACCAAATTTTGGCTTGATTCTAGCATGCTTGCAAAATAGTGACTGTTAATAGAGCGTTCAGTGATGTATGAACTGGATGAAAGGTAGTCGTTTGGCAATCCCACTATCTCGTGCCTATATCAATCTTTCTTTGAATTGAAGTGCAATCTCCAAGTGTCCACACAACTTTTAATATCTTCTTTGTCCACCTTTAAGACCTTAATATCATCATTCACTGCCATTATTCATTATTCATTACCTGAATAATAGGTAGAAGACAAATAAATTAAAAGCAGTCCTAAATTATTGGTAGTGTTGGATAAAATTATCATTAAATTAGGTCCTCGTTAAATTAAGTTTCCTTGGTTCTCCCTGAACTTGACGCTGCTTTTCCAATTAGATGGTAGACGAGCCACAGCTATAGGCAGAATAGAATAGCAAACAAGATTGGAGGTGCAAGCAATAAGTCCAAATATTGGATGGCCTAACAAATTGACCTCGAGAAATCATGTATTCTGCACTTGGAGCACATTCTACGTATTCTGCAACGTGAAACATGTAAGTCATGGCTTGAAGTTGCTACCTACTTAACCCCAGTAAGTAGGCAAGGAACACTCGTTACCCCCTTTGATTGGATGATTAAATGAAACCCCTTGCCACCCACTTTCCATTTCACTTGCTTTGCATCCATTAGTTCTACAGATTTTACACTCTTTTTTGTTACAGTTATGTAAATTTTGTTAGACACAAAGCGCACACCCAGTTTGATATAATGGACCTATGATTTTATTAATAAAAAGCTAAAATTCAAATTCGTTCAGCACGAAATTTACTCTATTTATTTATTCTTCTAGGCAGCCAGATGAAGTTTGTTGATTAGATTTGCTTCAAGATCTCGGCTAGGCGCACAAGTGTACTCTCAGGATTGTTATCGTTAATAAGGGCCAATGTGGTGAGCTTGGAAGGTCTCACACAGCATGGCGAGCAAAATTCTCGCTCTTGATCACTGTCGTTGACCTATCAACACCATCTTAAGTGATAGTTAGATCATGAATTATATGCTTTGCGAATTACCAGTTTCCTTTCAAATTGGGAAGATTTTTCTCAACATCTAACAGGTGTCAGTACTTGACTGGAGTAAAGTCTTCTTTGACCAAATATCCATGTCCTCTGGCACAAGTCATTACCCAGTTCCACAAAATTTATCACTTTGTTTTGAGTAAAGAAGGTAGGAGAAGAAGCTGCTTTGGTTTGAAAACATGGATGCACTATTTGTTTACCATGGATAAGTTCACATGCCAGACGTTTGTACACTGGATATTGTGGATACAAACTGATGAAGATTAAGCTATTCTCTTGTTGCATTATATACATGTGCTCCTCCACAACAGCACTTCAATACATGGCAAAGGTTCCACAGTTACAACAAATGCAGAGCACTATAAAGGGCTACTGGCAGCCAAAAGTACAAAGCACAAATAAATTACCCTGGTGTTAGTTAGAGAAAGCAAGAAATGCGTGCGTGTCGATGTTACAGGAATGCCAGTCCAGTCCAATGTTCACTGATGCGTGTGTGTGCGTGTGTCAGGTAAAACAGTAAATATAACCACCAACCGTTTAAGAAAATTTATGCTCAGGATGGGTAAACTCGCACCACAAATGAAGGTGACCACAGCCGAGGAGAAATGTAGTGGCCAGAATCACTTTTTAAAATTTATTTCATCACATCTTTGTGTAAAGCATTGTGTTATCTACCAGCGTCACATATAGGTGACGCATTGGTTATTACGGTCCGCTGTCCCCTAAATTGACGGATGTCAATGCATCGAGTACGCTTTCCACGACTTCACACCTTGCAGTTCTTGTCATTTATATGAGCTAATTACCAAGGGAATTTCTAAACATTATTCTGATTATATATTGCATCGTGTCATGTGACGAATTCGCCAATACTAAAACTGGATGTGAAGAAATCATATTCCCCTAGTTTTAGAATTCCATGAAGCAATGTTGATTTGTAGAACAAAGAGAATCATTCTTAAGACTACAAACAGGTTAAACATCACGAGACTAGCTCATAATTGAGCCTCCTAGTTCAGTCGACCATTTCATGTCCATCCACAAGGCTATTCAATGTGCGGGCCTAGTTGTCCTCCTCTGGTTGCCATTGACAGAAGCCCAGTATTCACGAAAGTTGGATAAGCCGATGATCTTATGCCAAGTGGAGCAGGGCTACTGGCTGGATGGCTGGATGGTTGCCCTCACAACTGCACAGTCCTACATCTACCTCTTCGGAAGGTTCACTTTTGAAGACGCCTCTGGTGAACTCCCGCACTGTCCAGTCAACATCCGAATTCCGCCGAGAGAGCGAGATTGCCGAAATCTAAGTGAGCCTTCTTCTGTCAACTTTGCGCCTTATTCGATTTGTTACCCTCAATTCACTATAAACCACGTACTTTCTTGAGAATCTTCGTTTAGTACGCAATATCCCTACCAAACAAGGCAAACTTTCACACTCTCTTACAAATACACATTCTTTCTGCAAAATAAATACGTATATTTCATTGCCCATCTAATTGCTTTAAACGTCACGATCCCATGGCTGTCAGTCCCACTTCAGTCGAAGTATCTGTTCAATGCGTACATCGTCATGCAGAGTTTGGTAGCACACCGGACAAAAGAGACTAGCTATTCGAACACGGGAAAGTAAACAAGTGGTTTGGTGACTAAGGCCCTTCCATGCAAGCCGTCAATTTAAAATATTGACAATAACACCATGTCGCAGTGACTTAGGGCCTGCCTAAAGTCGAAGTAAACCATACCAGTAAGAAAGATTCATCGCTAAAGTAGAGAAGAGCCTAAAGGCAATAGTCGTGGTGAGAGAACCCTGGTTGTGGACCTGGCCCAAACAGCTCTAGTCAGTGGACACAGGCACTTCCATTGGCGTCTGCTACGTCAAAATGCCCACCTCCTCAGTTACAAATGCGTCTATCAAACATCAAGAAGTGAATAAGGAGAAACTTAAGCACTTGAAATGCCATTGATAGATTCAGTCAGAAAACCACATATGACAACAAGTAGTTGTGCGAGAACAAGTTTCATGGATCCATTCTCCTTCAATGGATATGAAATAGGAAGGATGCAAAAATCCAACTGACTGATTTATGGGACGGGAATGCTAACTACTCTCCGACGAAAAGAACACAGCAAAAATGCTGGGGAAGTGTGAAGCGATTGTCATGTGAATAAGCATGTTTGGATGTATTGTGTGGATTAATAACCTGAGGAAATATTAAGGCCTGAAGAAGCACATTACCTTTGTGAGCAAGGATGAACAAATTTTGGAGTTTGTTCACAGACGATATTTTTTAAAAGCACACAATGCACCTCCATAAACGCAAACATCACCTTTTTAATGGATCACTTTCGAGTTCAGAGAGCATGAAATTTACCTCTCAGACAAAAAAGACACTTCTAGAAGCGAATAAGGAAGAATTATTCTCAATACACTAAGTACGCAATTATATCGTCATTTGCTTGAATTGAAACATCAGTAGTCTCATGCCTGATGCAACTACACAGCGGTCTGCATTACACGAACAGCCTGGTGTCGCAAATCACAGTAACTATAATTTGCCAGGTCGCATTCGAACAAACAGTAGACGATTGTGAATCGGGAGGGCAAGAGGGCAAGGGGACACCACGAACATTATGTGGAATTTCAATCACTTAAGTAGAACATCAAACGGATTCAAATAACTCACTGATTTGGAAGGAGGAACGATGGTAGTGGGATTGGGAGCGATATCTTTACCATCACCACCCTTGGAGGAATCACTTATCGGATTGCGAGGCAGCAGTGTCGGTGATGTTGAAGGTTGGACAATATCACCTCCAACACCACCTCCACGTCCATTGCTCCGTGGTGGCGATGATGGAGGAGGAGCCTTGGGATGTGAAGGAATGAATACTTGAGGAGGTGAAGTGTTTTGGTTGTTAGTTTGGTCAAAATCCGTTTCGGGTGATGTTAGGGAACGTTGTTGCATAGGCGAATTCATAGGCATTGTGAGCTGCAGCAAAGGATAGAATTTGCGTTATGTTAAGCAAATATAATTTGGTTTGACTTAAGCAATTTCGCCATGGAGACAGGATTGGATCACGCATGACATTTTCATTGATTTAGGTTTTGCTTCCATACCCTGGCCTCGTCTGATTCTTTTATGAAGTGAAAAAGAATGGGTTAGCAGTAGATGTAGAACTGACCTTCGGAATACCTAATTTCTATGTGGTGTAGCGGCACATCTAGTAAGTGAGAAAAAGGCGGCAAATGATACGTCTTCATTCAGCGGAAACAGACGCTTTGATTGGCTCTGAATCCTGCACACACACACGCACACGTCTGCTACGCCAAACTCAAGTCTCTCTGTAGCCACACACAAGTGCATTTAAAAGCAATAAATATTTTGTAGACTCCACGAGAAACAATCCACCCAAGAGCTCCAACAATGCAAGCTTCAAGCAGTCGTGATGCTATTAAAAGGTTCAATTTGATAATCACATTCAATAATAAATAGGTGTGTGTTGACGAGAGCTGTGCCATATCAGTGGAATGAAGAACTGTATGATTACCATTGCATCGAATTTCAATGGAGAAGAAGAAAGGCAGAAACCTAGTTGGATAGTGAAAAGTTGTTAAACGAAAGTCGAGCAACTTAATGTGATGCGATGCATTGTATGTGTCAATGGGTAATTTGGACCAAATTTTGGCTTGATTCTAGCATGCTTGCAAAATAGTGACTGTTAATAGAGCGTTCAGTGATGTATGAACTGGATGAAAGGTAGTCGTTTGGCAATCCCACTATCTCGTGCCTATATCAATCTTTCTTTGAATTGAAGTGCAATCTCCAAGTGTCCACACAACTTTTAATATCTTCTTTGTCCACCTTTAAGACCTTAATATCATCATTCACTGCCATTATTCATTATTCATTACCTGAATAATAGGTAGAAGACAAATAAATTAAAAGCAGTCCTAAATTATTGGTAGTGTTGGATAAAATTATCATTAAATTAGGTCCTCGTTAAATTAAGTTTCCTTGGTTCTCCCTGAACTTGACGCTGCTTTTCCAATTAGATGGTAGACGAGCCACAGCTATAGGCAGAATAGAATAGCAAACAAGATTGGAGGTGCAAGCAATAAGTCCAAATATTGGATGGCCTAACAAATTGACCTCGAGAAATCATGTATTCTGCACTTGGAGCACATTCTACGTATTCTGCAACGTGAAACATGTAAGTCATGGCTTGAAGTTGCTACCTACTTAACCCCAGTAAGTAGGCAAGGAACACTCGTTACCCCCTTTGATTGGATGATTAAATGAAACCCCTTGCCACCCACTTTCCATTTCACTTGCTTTGCATCCATTAGTTCTACAGATTTTACACTCTTTTTTGTTACAGTTATGTAAATTTTGTTAGACACAAAGCGCACACCCAGTTTGATATAATGGACCTATGATTTTATTAATAAAAAGCTAAAATTCAAATTCGTTCAGCACGAAATTTACTCTATTTATTTATTCTTCTAGGCAGCCAGATGAAGTTTGTTGATTAGATTTGCTTCAAGATCTCGGCTAGGCGCACAAGTGTACTCTCAGGATTGTTATCGTTAATAAGGGCCAATGTGGTGAGCTTGGAAGGTCTCACACAGCATGGCGAGCAAAATTCTCGCTCTTGATCACTGTCGTTGACCTATCAACACCATCTTAAGTGATAGTTAGATCATGAATTATATGCTTTGCGAATTACCAGTTTCCTTTCAAATTGGGAAGATTTTTCTCAACATCTAACAGGTGTCAGTACTTGACTGGAGTAAAGTCTTCTTTGACCAAATATCCATGTCCTCTGGCACAAGTCATTACCCAGTTCCACAAAATTTATCACTTTGTTTTGAGTAAAGAAGGTAGGAGAAGAAGCTGCTTTGGTTTGAAAACATGGATGCACTATTTGTTTACCATGGATAAGTTCACATGCCAGACGTTTGTACACTGGATATTGTGGATACAAACTGATGAAGATTAAGCTATTCTCTTGTTGCATTATATACATGTGCTCCTCCACAACAGCACTTCAATACATGGCAAAGGTTCCACAGTTACAACAAATGCAGAGCACTATAAAGGGCTACTGGCAGCCAAAAGTACAAAGCACAAATAAATTACCCTGGTGTTAGTTAGAGAAAGCAAGAAATGCGTGCGTGTCGATGTTACAGGAATGCCAGTCCAGTCCAATGTTCACTGATGCGTGTGTGTGCGTGTGTCAGGTAAAACAGTAAATATAACCACCAACCGTTTAAGAAAATTTATGCTCAGGATGGGTAAACTCGCACCACAAATGAAGGTGACCACAGCCGAGGAGAAATGTAGTGGCCAGAATCACTTTTTAAAATTTATTTCATCACATCTTTGTGTAAAGCATTGTGTTATCTACCAGCGTCACATATAGGTGACGCATTGGTTATTACGGTCCGCTGTCCCCTAAATTGACGGATGTCAATGCATCGAGTACGCTTTCCACGACTTCACACCTTGCAGTTCTTGTCATTTATATGAGCTAATTACCAAGGGAATTTCTAAACATTATTCTGATTATATATTGCATCGTGTCATGTGACGAATTCGCCAATACTAAAACTGGATGTGAAGAAATCATATTCCCCTAGTTTTAGAATTCCATGAAGCAATGTTGATTTGTAGAACAAAGAGAATCATTCTTAAGACTACAAACAGGTTAAACATCACGAGACTAGCTCATAATTGAGCCTCCTAGTTCAGTCGACCATTTCATGTCCATCCACAAGGCTATTCAATGTGCGGGCCTAGTTGTCCTCCTCTGGTTGCCATTGACAGAAGCCCAGTATTCACGAAAGTTGGATAAGCCGATGATCTTATGCCAAGTGGAGCAGGGCTACTGGCTGGATGGCTGGATGGTTGCCCTCACAACTGCACAGTCCTACATCTACCTCTTCGGAAGGTTCACTTTTGAAGACGCCTCTGGTGAACTCCCGCACTGTCCAGTCAACATCCGAATTCCGCCGAGAGAGCGAGATTGCCGAAATCTAAGTGAGCCTTCTTCTGTCAACTTTGCGCCTTATTCGATTTGTTACCCTCAATTCACTATAAACCACGTACTTTCTTGAGAATCTTCGTTTAGTACGCAATATCCCTACCAAACAAGGCAAACTTTCACACTCTCTTACAAATACACATTCTTTCTGCAAAATAAATACGTATATTTCATTGCCCATCTAATTGCTTTAAACGTCACGATCCCATGGCTGTCAGTCCCACTTCAGTCGAAGTATCTGTTCAATGCGTACATCGTCATGCAGAGTTTGGTAGCACACCGGACAAAAGAGACTAGCTATTCGAACACGGGAAAGTAAACAAGTGGTTTGGTGACTAAGGCCCTTCCATGCAAGCCGTCAATTTAAAATATTGACAATAACACCATGTCGCAGTGACTTAGGGCCTGCCTAAAGTCGAAGTAAACCATACCAGTAAGAAAGATTCATCGCTAAAGTAGAGAAGAGCCTAAAGGCAATAGTCGTGGTGAGAGAACCCTGGTTGTGGACCTGGCCCAAACAG